TATATAGAGAGAGAGAGAGAGAGAGAGAGAGAGAGAGAGAGAGAGACATTTATTTATTGGTCTGTTATTTATGTATTTAATCATTTTAGTCTTGAGAGCAGCGGTGTCAAACTCAAAGACTGGGGGGCCAAATCTGGCCCGCCACATCAATTTATGCAGCCTGCGAAAGCCACTCAAACATGTCATCTTCCATGATGCTTCCTAAAATCTGTACCAAAATTTCAAATGTAATTAATAGCAGAGATATTGTAAGACTTTACTTGTTACCAAACTGCTCATTAAAGTAACTTAAATAGTTCAAGAAACGATTATCCTTGACTCCTTTATATGGTTTCACAGTCATAACGGCAGTCCAAGGGAAACGGTAACTACAATGTGACAGGCAACACAACTTCCGGTCTGTTATGTCTTTACTTTGTAAATCATTTTAGGTACATTCATTTTTGTTTTATAATAATTTAGTATCTTCAGTGGTTCCTCAGACGGAGTCCTCTGCGCTACGGGAGCTGCGGTGGGGAGAGGCTGTGGTCCAGCCTCATGGGGTCCCCAGTTTTCACGTGTGCAGGCCCCTTTTTCGTTTGAGTTGCATTTTTATGCATGAAAAGTGACGTGTAGAGTGTAACAGCATTTTGTGGTACGGTCACACATATTTAGTGACGTATCCACTTTCAAAATATAAAGAGAGATTCTGCGATTGGTTGGCAACCAGTTCAGGATCTAGTCCGCCTACTGCCCGAAGACAGCTGGGATCGGCTCCAGCGTGCCCTGTGACCCTAGTGAGGATAAGCGTATTCCAAAATGGATGGATGGATGGATGAAAAAGAGAGATTTTTTTAAGCACATTTTAAGATTACGACAAAGTTCCATTTGAACGACTGAAACACTTAACTCACCAAGTAGATCCAGACACTCCTGTGATATAAGATACAATATCGAGGACTTGTATTTCCTTGAGGCTCTTTAGACTGCCCAACAGGCTTGTCATTGCTCTGGATCCTCCCCCCGAACCCACCACTGCTATAGTTGGCACCTAAATAAAGGATACATGTTTCATTTATACAGGAGGGGACTGTAAAATCAAACAAAATAACTTCGAGGATGATTCATTCCTATTTAGAATGCATTTGCCCCATGAGTAATAACTGAGAAATATGTCTCTCTCTCTCTCTTTTTCTCTATATACTGTATACACATGTGGCAGAATACTGCAACTATTGCCATTTCCATCGATTGAACTCATACATAATACGCCATATACGACATTTTTAAAAGCATTAAATGGCATCATGAAAATATATTTGCAAAATAGAATATATAATTCAATATACAAGAATATACAATGTCATATATCAAATAATATGACAATACAGTTGATATAACATGTATAAGATTCAGTTACTTTTTAAACCTGTGTTCCAAAAGATGGCAATGCAAAATAATAAAAAAATAAAACAATATCCAGTGGGGGAAAAAAAAACATTATAGGACAACATTCTTTCTTGAAATTGTTCTTGGACTTTTTCTTCTTAAGCCGCTTTTTCATTGGAACGGTTCCACGCTGCTTCGGCTTTGCTTGGCCTCAAGTGGTCGCTTTTTACTTTTCTTGGGCCGTAGTGGTGGGCGCCTTTGCTTTTTCAATACAAACACTGACACGCTATTCGTGTAAATATTTTGATGAGATTACTCGGCTATCGGTTTTTGGTGGACTTTGACAATAGAGCGATGAAGTCTGTGGTGACTTGACAGGTGAGTTGAAATTGTGTGTGATTGGAGATTGGAGCCTTATAAACTTCAACAGCAAGACTGGATTGTTGACCCGAACGTCGTGTCCAGCGCGACTTATATTGATCTTGTCCCCCCCAAAAATAAAATAAACATTTCCAAGAAGAACAATGTTTTGTTTTTTTTTGTTGGTTTTTTTTTTTCTGCTGTTCATGGTAATGTGCAGTACTGTATGATCCCCTATGTCAGCTGCATTACACAATATAAATCCAGACATAAATGAATGTCATGCAAAATGTGATTTGGACTGCATATACATGTGATTGCTGATGAAGCGCTTTGTAAATCTGTATGAATATGCTTAACTCATAAATTTACCGTTTCGGCATGCAATAATGTATTGCAATATTTGTTTAGACAGCAATGTAGTTTCTATTAATTCATGTAAAATGTACAGCAATAGATTGCCCATCCCTATTTGCTATATATATTCGAATAGATGACCAACTTTCTCATGAATTGGGAGGTAATTTCTCTGATCTCTGAAGTACAGATGACAAACAGTGCCAGTGGTGGATAAGCTTGATGATAATAACGGCCTTGAAAACCTGAGTCATAGCATTGAACATATTTTTCTCACCAATTCTGGAGGTTGTGTGCATGGATCCCAAGGATCCATTCAGGAGACTAGTCTGTATGAGGACCTCAGGGTAAGCACATCGGCCATCACATTGACGGTTTTTGGCATTTTCACGGTGTTTAACATTCGACATTGTGCTTAAGCCAAAGATGTACTGGTGGATTTAGCATCATAACATAGTTCTTCACCTGGTTTGCTGATGGTGGAGAGTCAAGGCCAAAGAGCTTTTGCATATTCTGCCCCACAATTAACTTCCTCTTCTTCAAAAACTCTTTCTCTTGCGGTGGAATGTCAAAATCCAGACGAACTGCAATATGGCCATCGACGCTACAGATTATCATGGGGAAAAAAAATAAATTTGAATACACAGTTGGTAAATACTTATAGACAAATTTTAGTAGATACAGGTTCTGGATACGTTCCAATTTAGAGCACATAAGAAAAAAAAAGGCTGTTTACCACTCATGTGTCTCAACATCTAAATCCACGGTGTCCTGTGGCAGAGGGGAAACACATCAGTCAACTCCAAAGTCATTATGTCATCGAACCAGTCAAGTGGCAATCTTTACACAATGTATTGTGTCGATCACCTTAGTTTATTTTTGATAAAACAAAATGATGTCTGACGTAGTGTGCTTGACAATGAAGCTAATGTTAGTGCGTTAACGCTAATATTATGTCATCATTTAGCTAGGGGTTGGACTTGCTTTCAACTGGTTTACTAAGCTTTCACACACACACACACACACACACACACACACACACACACACACACACACACACACTGATCCATCCATCCATGCATCCATTTTCCAATCCACCTTATCCTCACAAGGGTCGTGGGGGTTGCCGGAGCCTATCCCAGCCGTCTTTGGGCAGTAGGGTTGCCAGCCAATCACAGATGAACAACCATTTGCACTCACAATCACACTTAGGGACAATTTAGAGTGTTCAATCATTCTGCCATGTATGTTTTTGGAATGTGGGAGGAAACCGGAGTACCCAGAGAAAACCCACACAGGCATGGGGAGAAAATTCAAACTCCACACAGGGAGGCCAGAGCCGGAATTGAAACCTGCACCTCTGCACTGTAAGGCCGACGTGCTAACCAGTCATATGTAGTTGGCGAAAATTTATTGCAATTTTATGACATGACGTTAAGATAACTGGAGACTGTTTTTCAACTTACTATTTCCGTAAAAGTCACCATTTTTGTGTCAAGAAATACTTCTGGGAATCGTAGCCCCAGGTCTGATGTTGGCAACAACAACAACCAAACAAAAACGTATGAAAGTCACAAAGTGTGCTCTTGCCTAAGTCTCAATAAATTAAGCTCCTGTAAGTCATGGGAAAGCTCGCTACCGGTTCAAGCTTTCTTTCCAAGTCACACAAATTGGAGTAAACGAAAATATCCAATTTGGAAGAAACTTTCAAATTGCCCATTTCTGTTTTATTCATTTTCCATTCGTGTGATAGATCGGAAATCAGAAAACAAGTTGTTATCCGTTTTTCCATTTTTATTTTTGGAAAGAATATTGAGAAATCCAGTCATTGCTTGGGTTCTTTGAGCTCCTGTTTTGTTTTGAAAAACAAATGAACAAATGAGATATGGTTTCTTCCAAAATGCAGGAAATGCTTCCTGGTAATAACCATTGCTTCAGCTAAATGTCGTCAAAAGTACCATATCATATCATTAAATAATAAAACTAATATTTCAGATTACTTTCCTCTCTACGACTTTTACTGCTCACTTCATTGAACATTTCCCTCAACTCACAAGAATGACACTGCTTGAAATAGTTTAGACTGAATCTTCCTGGTTTTTGATATACAGGTTAATTGTTACCTGATCAATAACAAGAGACACTTTGCAAGTGTGTTCAGGTGGTAGTGGCTGAAGCCTTGCCACACTCGAGGGGGCATCAACAGCAGAGGACTGAAAAACAATATGCAATATAGTTTAATCCCACCATTTGCATCAGGTTCCAAGAGAAGCCACACAGACACTAGCAAACATCCGAGAGCACAGGTGTCAAACTCAAGGCCCAGGGGCCAGATCCAGCCCGCCAGGTCATTTTATGTGGCCCGTGAAAGCAAATCACGTGTGTCAACTTGCTAAAATCTGTACCGAAATGTCAAATTGTCATGTGTAAAAAATAACGTTGAGATTTTGCAATGATTTTTTACCCCGTTTACCCTCACTTGAACAAGAATTGAACAATCTCTTTTAATCGACCTGACTGATTTCAAAATTAGTAATCTATTCATTTGTTTTGTACAAGGAATAATTTTGTGGTTTCACTGTCATAACGGCCTTCCGAGGGAAGATGTAACACCAAAAATTGGCCCGGGACTAAAATGAGTTTGACACACTTGGCCTAGAGCTAACACCAACATAACATACATCCTGATTACTTACATTTCCTTGACAGAAGTAATAATTAACCCCTTGTTATATTATCTGTGCAACTGAAACTCACAGCCAGTCCAAGTTCGGTCGCCAAGTCTCTGTTAATGAAAAAACGCAGCTTGGTGGTTTCCTTTGCTGTTAAACTCTGATTCTCGGGACAGGCCCCACAAAGCTTTATCGTTTTACCCAGGGAATCTATTGAAAACAGGGAGAAAATCCTTGATTGAATTTTCATGAATAATACCCATGGATATATGTCGATTGCACAAATGTCAATAATTTTATATTTGTCATCACTTCAAAAGTAGTCACCATTGTTCATATCCAGAAAGTGGATTATTGATTCGTCCAAACCATTCTGTATCAAAGCAGTTTCTAGTGTCTTGGAATGTTAAATGCATCTTACAAGTGTGTTAAGTTGAGTCCAGACAAGTGAAAACTGTAATAAGTCGGACATGTGGTATTATTCAACAGAAACATAATTGTACGCCCTTCTCTGATTTATTTGGCTATGCACAAGCTAACAAACAGTACCATACCATAATTGTTTAGAAGCTTGTCGACGTTGATGTCCAAAGCAGAGAATGGGGGAGCCTAAAGGAAAGATACATTCGACATTATAGCAAATACATGCAAACTCAACAGTGTGCAATATTTAGACTTTTTTTTTCTTTTTTCTTTTTTTAATCATTTTGTACTTCTGAATTGTTGCCGACCAGTGTAGTGGATTTAAAGTGCAATTGGAGCATCTGCTCATGTGGTTGGTGGTTTCATCTGTTCATTAAATTGCGATTGGGCACTTGGACTTGCCGTGTAAATCCATTTGAACCCTTTCATGCACCCTGTAACCTGATAACATGATGAACTGTCCACTGTCGTAACAGTCCCTGAAAGGGTTCATACACTGAATGCATAATAGTGCAATTGATGTGGCTTACCAGGAGAATGCCATTACTGAAATAGTCACTTGGGGGCTCCTCGCTAAAAACAAGAAAAAAAAAAATAAATCAAACGCCAGGTACTTGATAAGAATGTACTTCTCACATTTGACAGCAAATATTTTATGAATATGTGCAAAATCCGTCACCTTTGGAGCATCTCAAACTGGATTAAAATTTGGTCTGTTGTCTGAAAAAGCACAGAAACACGGTCAAGGTGAGGAGCATGACACAGAAAGACATCAATGAGGAGAGCTCATCCCTGATCATGTAAACTAGTGTTGCAGTCAACAGACATACACCAAAACCAAAATGGATTCGATTACACCAAGCCAAAGTTTCTAAGTAGGAGAGTTACAAAATTTTCAGGCACTGATGAAATCACCTAAACTACAGAAGAAGCATTTTAAAGCTAAGTGTGCCAAAAAAGTATACCATGACATAACCTAAATGGGTTTTTGTATTTTTGAAACATTGCATCTGCCACATGCTGCAACCTCAAAACATGCATGAAGAGATCTCATTCTGTCACCTCACTAGAATTCGCACTTGCCATCATGTATGCTGATTCAATCCTGGTTATTTCACAAATCGCTGCAGTCATTTTGGTATGAACACTTCTTGACAAGGAATACCCCCCTCCCCCACCCCTCCCAAAAGTGTTACTCGTGATTGCATTTACCTCAGAATTTAAATTGAATGCTATTCTTTCTTTCTTGCCAAGTGTGAGGTTGCTGAGATCGTACATAGTCGTTGACATGAGGTCATCAAGTGAAACGGGGTCCTCGTCATGCAGCCTGATCTCTAAAACATTCTGGAGAAACATCAAACGACTTTGAAATCAATGTGTGACATCGCCATCCAGTAGAGTAAAAATGGTCTTTTCAATTGTAATACAAAAACACTGCACTTGAGGACACCATCTTATGATAAAAAAAGTCCCTTCTTTCATCCTCCATGTGGGCTTACTTTCAGATGTGAGGGGACCCTGAAGGTAAACGTTTCATTCCATTCTGGATTGTTGTTATTCTGCACTGTTTTTGTGTTGAATGCACTTGCAGTTGCCGTAGGAAGATAAAGACTGACGTAACAGTCTGACTCCGAAACTGATACACAGTGAACAAGGAGAGGAACCATCAAGAATCATTTTTGACTTGACATGTACTTGATACATGGAAAGGAAGTTGTACTTACAGTAATCTTTGGAATCACCCAGTTTGGCTTTTAGGACAGTCACATTTAATTTCCAGTAAGAAACCCCTTCCTTCTGTTGAGGGAGCCAATAAAAAATAAATACCAGCTGGAAAAAGCCCTCATAAGCCAGCATTTAGATGGACTTATCTCGTGCAAACAATCACCTGGACATACTGTAACATAACAGCTTTCGGTGCGACATGAAGTCATGAATAACTCATTTGACGGAAATATACGGTGTAATTTAACTGGATTTATTATTTGTTATATTAATCAAGTTGACACAATTTTTTTCTTTCCACAATAATTCACTGTGATTTAAACAGGGAAAAACATCCCCTTAATGTGTGGCAAGTGTATACCCATCCATCCATCCATCCATTCATTTTCTAATCCGCTTATCCTCACGAGGTTCACGGTGGTGCCAGAGCCTATCCCAGCTGTCTTCGGGCAGTAAGCGGGGTACACCCTGAACTGATTGCCAGCCAATCACAGGGCACACATAGACGAATAACCATCCACGCTCACACTCACACCTAGGGACAATTTAGAGTGTCCCATTAACCTGCCACGCATGTTTTTGGAATGTGGGATGAAACCGGAGTACCCGGAGAAAACCCACGCAGGGTCGGGGAAAACATGCAAACTCCACACAGGAAGGCCAGAGCCGGAAACGAACCCTGCACCGCTGCACTGTGAGGCGGACGTGCTAACCACCCACCGGACGTGCTAACCAGCCACCCACCGTGCCGCCCCAAGTGAATAACATCCATTCATCCATCCATTTTCTGATCCGCTTAATCCTTACGAGGGTCGCGGGGCGTGCTGGAGCCTATCCCAGCTGTTTTTGGGCAGTTGGTGGGGTACATCCTGAACTGGTTGCCAGCCAATCGCAGGGCACACATAGAGATACAACCATTCACGCTCACACTCACACCTAGGGACAATTTGGAGTGTCCCATTAACCTGCCATGCATGTTTTCGGATTATGAGAGGAAAGACGGAGTACCCGGAGAAAATCCGTGCAGGCACGGGGAGAACACACAGGAAGGCCGGCGACCACCGGGCCGCTGTGTTTACCATGAAATTTTAATTATTTTCTGCTATGGACCACTCATAGCTAGAATATCACACATTCTCATTTATTTACAGTGAATGTGTATGTTTGCTGCATTTTTGCGGAAACAACCTGAAATGTTTATGTAAATTCTATATGCATCACTGTTATAACCAAGTTCATTTCAGTTCAAAATGTCTTACCCCCAAAGAACAGCATTTGAAAGGGCTCACAGCTTTCCTCTCACTGAAGAAAAGATAAACAGACATAGTGACATTTTCAGATGAAATAGTCAATTAAACTGTTAAATAACAAAACAACCCCAAAAATGTTACCTCTCTTTGATCGTAAAGGCGATCCAAAGTTTACCCTTTAAAGACACAGACGGTCAAAGGAAAATTAGGCAAGGACCACACGCGTGATGATGTAAATGATTCTGATATGACAATAGGCTATGTCACATTGCACGCCACATCGAAACTAGGAAGTTTTGCAGACCTTGAACCCCCTCGAAAAAAGTCACTGGTTTGCAAATGCAACGCTAATAACATTTCTGTGTGAATTGATTTCTTGTTGCTTTGTATTCCAGACACCACATTTAAAAGAAAAGCTACGGCTGTTTGGACTCACTACTGTTTTGATTTGACTTTTTGCATCACAATACGAGATGGCGGACTCACAGACAAAAAGGTACCACGGATGTGATCGCACAAACAGATGTGGGTTTTATTATTTTTTTCCCCCTTGAGGAGTATAGAATAAACTAAAAACAGAAAGGAGAATTTTTAGGATAAAATAGCCACAAACAAACAAATATAGATCTATCTATCTATCTCAAAGTTTTGACCAGCAGGTTCGTGCACGAGTGGCACTCCCAATGCAATTACTGTAATCAAAACACTGCTGTTGCCGGCCGGTGTTGTCAAGATAAGTCCCATAGGTAACTTGCTGATGTACTGTTCATGTTTCGTCAGGTTATTGTAAGGTCTGTTGGCTAAATAAATAAAAAAATCAGATGAGAGCTAAACTGTATGTATAATCTTGTGGATTGAAAGCAGAGGTCGCGATTCGGTGACACAAAAATGATGAGTTTGATGTTCCAGGTTTGATGTGTTTTTTTCTACTTTCAGAGAATCAGCGCACCGGCGACTCCAATTCGCATTGAGGTGTCGGCCCAGCAAAAAAGCAGTCAATAGCTCAAAGACGTTGAGGTCCATGTGGGGTATCTGATTTGACCTGACACTGTGCTGTTGTATTTATTGTGTGTTTCTAGCAGGGTTGCCAAACGTCCCTTGAAAAATGGAATGTTTCGAAAAACAACCATATTGAGGGTAAAAAAAGAGACGAGTTTTCCTGCATTCCAGTGGAAATCCAAAATAGTCTCTAAATGTTGATGTACAGTAGTTATAACAAATATCGTGCAAGTGGACCATGCCTCCTTATGTCCAAGATCCCCAGAGCCCGGACCATCAGACCTGGCTGCTCCCTTCTGGTGGGTTCAAAAGGGGATGTTTCCAGCCGAGGCGTTAAAATGAATGCAAGTTAAAAATTGTGAAATGCACAGAGGTTTTAAAATGGAGAAGGAAGAAGTAAACAACTTATCTTGTCCTACCCCTTACTGTGTAGTAATATGAATTGTTCATTTTTCAAAACAAAGAAGAAGAAGAAAAAGTCAAAATATCATCAAATACTTTTACCATTATGTATACTATCCTTTTCTATTTATGAAGTTAAGGTTAACTTTATTTATTAAGTTAACTTAAGGTTAAGTTAATGAATTGAGTCTCAACCGAAATTTACGATGAGGAGCAGATACTTTGCACATTGCCCTGTTTGGATGAATAAAAGGACTTCCCTTTTGCCGCTGGAACCCGCCCACATACATACCTCGGGTTGGATGGCAAATTCCTTGATTTCCGTTTTCCCTTCTGGCAGTGTGCTGATATCAATCACCATTGTTTGAATCAATTCATCAAATTGGGGGTCCTCATCATGCAGATGAATCTGGAGAGTAGTCTGGGAAGATAACACAATATTAACAGATTATATCTTAGAATGTGAGAACAATTCAAGGCTTAGCACAGATATTCACAGAATCAGTGACTAATACGGCGTAGAAAAAAAAGTAGTGTGTTTCCGGTAACCCGACCGACCGAGAATTTCTACGTCGAAAAAAAACTTTACAGTCGGTATTTCTTTTCAAACAACCCTCTACATTTTTGCGTAGAGGTTTTACATCGGTGCAAACTCTCGCGATATTCACGTTGAGCGCGTGCGTCGTTTGCCCTGTCGTCTGTCAACAACATTGAAACATGGCGGCGGCCGCGATCTCCGACGACAGTTTAAACCGCGTTTTCTGTGTTACAGTCGCATGCTCGCACCGTAATGTTAAGAAAATAGCATCCATTGATGTATCGAAAAAATTCAGCAAACTATTTGATGAACACCAC